ATTTCTTAGGGGGCACTGACTAATCAAAATAAAAATAATTTAATGTGGTCCCTCGTGCTGGACAGCTGCACAGGAATACCCGGCTCCTTCCCTGCACCCACTGCCACTCAGGGGCCCTGGGCGGAATGGGAAGTGGTAGGGCCTTGCCAGTAAGTCAGAGGGCCAAGCCCCGAGATGCCCCAGTGTAGCTACAAGCCTGTACTAGAAGCTTTTTATTTGGGAAAGGGGAGGGGAGGGGGGAGGGAGAGGAGAGGAAAGGGAAGGGAAGGGGAGATTATCAGAGTGGGGAGTTCAGCACTTATATTCTATATCTGTGTGATGTTTACAAATCTGTGATGTGACTGTGTCCTCTCTCTCTGTCTCTCTCACAAATAAACACACCTGCTCCGAACCAGGCTCGAAGTTTGCGTGATCCGGAGCATATTACACGGGAAGGGCCGCTTGAAATTCTCTCCCCGGACAGAGGCTCCCCTTCCGCCCCGTCTGTGCCAGGCCCCCCAGTGGGGAAAAAAGGTATTGCGTTCTCGCCTTCAAGTCTCACCCTAAAATGAGTTGCTTCCTCGGTACGAGGGACTTCCCCTCCTACCCTAACATATAGAGAGAGCCAGTTTGGGTAGAGAGCCAGTTTGGTGTAGTGGTTCAGCGTGTGGACTCTAATCTGGGAGAACCGGGTTTGATTCCCCACTCCTCCACTCGCAGCTGCTGGATGACCTTGGGCAAGCCATGGTTCTGTCAGAGGTGTCCTTGAAAGGGCAGTTCTTGAAAGAACTCTCTCAGCCCCACCTGTCTGTTGTGGGGAGGGGAAGGGAAAGGAGTTTGTAAGCTGCTCTGAGACTCTGAGTGAAGGGCGGGGTATAAATCCAATCTCCTCCTCCTCCTCCTGTTTTAACTGTTTCCCTGCCAGGTTATAAGGAGATTTGCAGTCCACTCCTAAAAAGAGTTACACCCTTTTAAGGCTACTGAAGTCAATGGGCTTGGAAGGGTGTGAGGTTGTTGCTCAGTCCCACAGTCGAGTCCGACTCTTCGCGACCCCATGGACCACATCATGCCAGGCCCTCCTGTCCTCTGGAGTTTGCTCAACTTCATGTTCGTTGCATCGATAACACTGTCCAACCATCTCATCCTTTGCCGTCCCCTTTTTCTTCCACCTTCAGTCTTTCCCAGCATCAGGGTCTTCTCCAGCGAGGGCTCCCTTCTCATTGGGTGGCCAAAGTATTTGAGCTTCAGTTTCCTTATCTGGCCTTCCAGGGAACAGTCAGGGTTGAAGGTCATGGGAACACTACTGACTGGGAACGTACAGTTGGATGCTCTGTGTTCGAAGACGCCTTGCAGAGCAGAACGGGGAGGGGTGTTAGCTACCCCAGGAGTTGAGAAGTGGGTGGAGGTTGGTGGGCCGAGGGGGTGCCCCCCTCAAATTGAGTCACCGCTGAAGCCACAGCCCCGTGATGGTGAGCCAGAGGCAACTTTTGAGTGTAAAGAAATTCTGCCTCTAATGTAGCTGGAGACTCTTCTAAAGGCTTTCTGATGTGTTGTAGAACCTCAAGGTATTTCCTGGGAATCTCCAGCAGAAGACGTCACGAGCGCCGATTCTCCAGCAGTTCCCGAACCAAGGATAGATCTCCATCCCGATCTGCCAAAACTGACCATAGATGATTTCGTCTTGCACAAAATGCTGGGGAAAGGAAGTTTCGGCAAGGTACGTCATGAGAGGGGAAGCAGGAGGTAAATTCCATGGGCGCTTTACATTTTTAGGAAACCACCACTGTACCCATTTACACACATGCCCAATCCTTTACACACATGGCCAGGTCAACCCAGTCATCTTGTTGATAAAGCATCCAAGGAATTTCCCCGGTGGCCAATCAGACGCCCTGCTGGGCAAAACCCCACCTAGCCCCATCCATTAAAAAAAAAAAATTGGCGAGCACCAGAAAAGCATTGGAGGATGCTTTGGCGCCCACGGCCACCATGTTGAGGATCCTTGAGCTAGGCTCTTAGTGTCCCCGTTTCTCACCCAGTGCCAAATTCTGTAGCTTTGCTGGGCATGCCGGAACTGTGGACTTGCATGCCACGTTGCCAGTCACTGAAGAGGATCCCGTTT